TATTATTGTATAACTATATTATTATATTACAAAGCGTACACTTTGATTGTGATGTATATTCGATGAGTATGACTAATGCATAATGATACGGATATGATAATGAAGTTGATTTATATATTGTGTATATGTAAACTCTGCTAATTCAATTCAAGAGAAGCCAGCATTCGAACCTTTTTATTTTTGTATTTAACTAAACAGCAGCAACACCAACAGCAACAACAAATTGTAAACCTCTTCTCTTTTCGTTAAAAAAACAACAACAATAAACTTTAATGTTTTTTTCTTTATTTTAAGTATTTAATGCAATCTTCTTTATTTCTTGTAAAAAACAAAACAAAACAAACAAAAACTCTTAAGAGAAAACAACTTCAAATAAAAGCAAATTGTAGCACTCTGTGTATAGTAAGCAAAAAACAACAACATGAGCAAGTTTTACTGGATCAAGGTTAGATATATACGTATATATATACATAGAGTTTTAGATGACTCGAGTCTAGTCAAGACTTTCTTCTCTTTCAGCAAAACAAAGGAACAAACGAACGAACGAATAAACTAAAAAGTGATAATCCATAACAACTACAAATAAATTAATAAATAAATAATATTCAAATTTTGTTAAGATCAAGAGAAATCGAACCTAACCTAGCACCGCTGCATTCAGCTAGAATTTTGGGGCTAAGAAACAAGAAACAACAACAAAATTTGTAAATACATTTAGCAATAGTTATTTTTGATTCCAATACGAATGCACAATATAAATCTGAACAATGTTTGGCACAGCATATGAAACTAATTGAACTTTGTGACATTGATTGATTGATTGATTGCGTGACGGATCCGGACAGATTGAGGAGGCGCATTGCTGTGCGAAAGTTTGTTTAGTTCAAATATCAAAATGCAAAAAAAAAAAAAAAAAAAACATTAAAGCCACTAAGGAGACAACATTTTTATGCATGCCAATCTAAATGTGTAGAAAACAATAAACAATTGAAGAAAGCAACTGGGATCGAGAGTACGAGTACTTATATATATATAAACTTATATATATGTATGCATATGTAATAGAACTAAATAGTAAAACTGGGGCGGGATGAGGGCGGTTACAACACGGGCGAACCAGAAGCAAAAACATTTTTAAAGTGACATTGTAATTGTATTTAACAAATTAGATAATAAATTAATATGTTCTAAATATGTTGCGCCTATTTCTTCTCCTGCTCGTCGAGAAACTGTTGCAGGAGCGAGGCATCGATTGGTATGTTCAGCTGCTCGGAGCCATCCACACTGCGCTTCGACTTGACCAGTTTGTGATCCAGAAACTCTGTCAGCTGGGCGCGCAGTGCCAGGTCGGAGCTAACCAGAAAGGCCTCGCGACAGCTCCAGTAGAGGTCCTTGAAGGGCATGCCCTGATAGTTGGCATTGCCCTTGTTCTTCAGCTGATACTTGACAATCAGCATGTAAATGCCGCGCGAGTTCGTCGTCAGCGAGGAGAAGACGCTGCGCAGCGAAGAGAGCGCCAATTCGCCAGAGTTCTGCACCAGCAATGAGTTCTCGAAGGCCGTCTCGTCCGTGTAGGGCAGCATGGTGGTGCAATCCCACCAGGAGAAGTTAAAGTTGCTCAGCTTGTTCTGGTCCCAAACTAAAAACGTGAAGAGGAGGAATGAGTAATGAAAGATCAAAAGGAGGAGGCATGCTCGACTAGGGATACCCGTGTTAAGCTTGAGCAAAGAGGAAAGATCTCCAACTCATCCTATGGAGTAGAGTCTGGAGCTGACTCTAGCTACAGATGAATAATGCTGTCCACGAATATGCCTCTCTTGCTGCACTGGATACGGCATGTCTACTTACGCAAAGGTGTATTGATATGATCAATCGAGGCCAATAGGTGAATGTTGGGCACGCGTGCCAGTCTGGATAGAATGTCCTGAGCCTTGACGTTGCGCAGCATAGCGCCGTCTAGATTGTGAACGATCAGAAAGAGATGTGTTTCGGGTATCAGTGCAAACTCCTCCTCGATCATGTCGACGGCCTCGTGTGCATTCGCTGGACTCGGGCCAGCATCTAGAATCTCGCTGGTAATACTATCCAAGACGTCCTTCAGAGTCAGGCTGGGAAAGAAGCCATTGATCACCAGCACCGTTTGCTGGGCGAGAATCTCACGATGAAAGGATTGCAGCAATTGCCGCTTTGAGCCGAGGCCGTAGAGCAGAATGTTGAAGCCTTCGTTGAGAATGCACATCCATTTGGCAAAGTACGAGCGATACTCCTCCATAATGGCATTGATGGCCATCTCGTGCTCTGGCGAGGCTTTCATATCGGCCAGCAGGCTGAACAAACGATCCGCGGCTAATCGTGGATTCTTCAAGCGATCCAGCGTGTGATCCGACGTGAGAATCTTGCTGCTGGCATGAGAGTGAAAGTAGCCATCGCTCTCGGGTACGAACTCATTCGATCTCTTTACCCGCGCCGATTGCCGCTGGCGAGCAGCTGATGGCGTCTTCGGCAGCACCGGAACGACTATTGCGCGACGAGCCTTTGATGGTGTCTTGGACTCATCATCTGCGCCATCGTTCTCGGAACTGCTACCGTCTTCACTGCTGCTGCTGCTACTTGAGGAATTGTCATCGTCTGGACGAAAGTCGCTGTCATCCGCAGAGAAATCCTCATCGGAGTCAGCCACAATTTTGGCAATCTCTATAATAAAATAGAATATGTTTTTAGATCATAAATGAAATGAAATTCCATGCGCGACGCACGTTGTTTCACCCTAGTTCTGACGTGTGCCGGAGTCTTGGGCTGATCTGCCTTTTTGCGTTTCGTGTCTGGAGTCTTGACGCCCAGTCGCGGCGTCTTTGGCGTTTTCGGCGTGCTGGGCGTGGCATTAAGTGCAGCTAACGCCATAGCATCGCGCTTCTTAGGCGTGTTAAAGCCGAATAAGCTTGTGCCCGCTACATTGTAGTCGGCTTGTATTAGCTGCAGATCCCGTGAATTTGGCTTTGCGGTACCCATGTTTTCTTCTTCATCATCTTCTTCAGACTGGGACTCATTCTCCGTATAGTTGACGTCACGCTGCCCACCGGACTTGGCCTTGTACTCTTTATACTTCTTAGTGGGGCTCGGTCTGCGTGTGGAGCGTCGTGTGCGTGTCTGCTCCTCGGGCTCAGCGGCACTTGAACCGTCGGAGTTTACTAACTCAGTCGATTTCAGACGCCGTTTTGCATCTTTCTGTTTCTTTGGTGTCTTGTACTCTCCGGCAGCTGTGTGTATTTTTGTTGGCGTCGTAGTCATTTTATATATTGTTTACACACCACTACTAACAAAAGCTGTTTATTAAAATATAATATACAAATACAACTTTTGTTGTTTTTGCCGCGTTTTGTAAACTTTTATCGAATAATCAACTTCATTTACTGATCATGGACTATCGATTATGAATTTGAATTCAATAAAAATCACTTTTTAGTTCACTTGCCACATTTTACAGCACTGCAAAAATTTAAATGTTGAAAGCCGCCAATTGACAATTTCGGTATCATTAAAAGTAAAAATTTTGTTTAAATTATATAAATACAAAAAAATAGATTATAAATCTATTGTTTTATATTTTATATGTTGATTAACATTTGTTTAAGCTTAAATTTAAACATAGCATACAATTAACTTTTAGCAGCTTTAATCGATTGCCGTTTACCGATATATCGCGAAGAAATGCATCACTAACTGTGAGTCAGGCGGTTCAGCGTGCGGCAATTTTTCACTGAAATCAGTAGCAGTGCTTGATTAATTTTTATAAAATTTTTATTAAAAGTCGCACAACACAGACGAAACATGTCGACATTGGCAAGTCCCTTATCCATCGCAGGCACACGGCAGTCCGGCGCTTCTGTGCGCTCACAGAACGGTAAGAAATCGTGGTGTGCAGCAACAGCTGCAGCCATTAAAATAAAGTTGCCGGGGCAGAAGCACGTTGCCAATAAGACCCCCAGATGGTAGCGAAGAATATTCTCGAACGAGTTGTTAAAAATGTTATTTTATTTGAAATTTATTAATATTAAAACCAATAAACAAAAGTAATGGAATATCAAACACTGTCTAGCTTAAAGTGAGGTTAGGACGTCCATTCATGGTTCTAATATGAGTCCTTTTTACAGTTATGGCTGCGCTGTCCATATCGAATATTGTCAAGAGCTCTCTGGGTCCAGTTGGCTTGGATAAAATGTTGGTCGATGATATTGGCGATGTTACAATTACCAATGATGGAGCAACTATTCTTCGTCTGCTCGAGGTGGAGCATCCAGCAGCAAAGTAAGTTAATTAAATCTTGTAATTGCTTTGATCCAAACTGATCATTCATTCTATTTAAGGGTCCTGGTGGAGTTGGCTCAGCTGCAGGATGAGGAGGTTGGCGATGGCACCACATCCGTTGTTATATTGGCTGCGGAATTGTTGAAGAACGCGGACGAACTGGTCAAGCAGAAAATTCATCCCACATCCATTATTTCTGGTTATCGCATTGCTTGCAAGGAAGCATGCAAATACATTTCAGAGCACCTGACTGCTCCAGTAGACGAGCTGACCCGCGACTCCCTGATCAACATCGCAAAGACTTCAATGAGCTCCAAGATCATTGGCGCCGACGCGGACTTCTTTTCCACCATGGTCGTAGATGCGGCTCAAGCAGTTAAGATCACCGATCCTAAGGGACAGGCAGCCTACTCAATCAAAGCCATCAACGTGCTGAAGGCGCATGGAAAGTCGGCTCGCGAATCTGTGCTGATACCCGGATACGCCTTGAACTGCACACTTGCTTCACAGCAAATGCCTAAAAAAATAGTTAACGCTAAAATTGCCTGCTTGGACTTCTCGCTTCAAAAGACCAAGATGAAGATGGGCGTCCAAGTATTGATCAATGACCCCGACAAGCTGGAGGCCATTCGCGCACGTGAGCTGGACATCACGAAGGAGCGCATCAACATGATTTTGAGTACCGGTGTCAATGTTGTCCTCTCCAGTGGCGGTGTTGATGATCTGTGCATGAAGTACTTCGTCGAGGCAGGCGCTATGGCGGTGCGTCGCGTTAAGAAGAGCGATCTGAAGATCATTGCTAAGGCAACTGGAGCTGCATTCCTTACCTCGCTGACCAACATGGACGGCGAAGAGAGCTTCGATGCCTCGATGGTGGGCGAAGCGGCTGAGGTGGCCCAGGAGCGCATCTGCGATGACGAACTCATTCTCATCAAGGGCACAAAAGCACGGTAATATAACTTAGGTACATAACCAGAGAAAGTTCATCTGAATTCCTTCTGAATTTGCAGTGCTGCTGCTTCCATAATCTTGCGTGGTCCCAACGACTTCTACTGTGATGAGATGGAGCGTTCCGTGCATGATGCTCTCTGTGTGGTGAAGCGTGTGTTGGAAAGCAAAAAAGTCGTTGCTGGTGGCGGCTGCGTGGAGGCGGCTTTGTCCATCTACCTCGAGAACTTTGCTACATCGCTGTCATCGCGGGAGCAGCTGGCCATAGCCGAGTTTGCCAAATCGATGTTGGTCATTCCCAAGACCTTGTCTGTTAACGCAGCCAAGGATGCCACCGATTTGGTGGCCAAGCTGCGCTCCTACCACAACTCCAGCCAGACCAACTCCAAACATGCCGACTTAAAGTGGACTGGCTTGGATTTGATTGAGGGTGTGGTGCGCGACAACAGGAAGGCAGGTGTGCTGGAGCCGGCCATGTCTAAGATCAAGTCCCTGAAGTTCGCCACAGAAGCAGCGATCACCATTTTGCGCATTGATGATATGATCAAGCTGAATCCCGAGGACAAGAGCGGCAAGAGCTACGGCGATGCCTGCGCCGCTGGCGAGCTGGATGGTTAGGCCGTTGCATGGTCAGCTCTTCTATTTGTTTAGGCACTTAATATTATGGAACACTCACTGAAAACTTACACGCCTCCCATTACAATAATTGTAACAACAATTTAATTGTTTTTTCTTTGTGCTAACTGCGATTTGTATTAACCACGCATTCATTTCTAAGTTCTCCCCTCATTCACGTAAAATGCATAATAAATGAAACATCTGAATATGCTGCGGCGTATACAAAACTAAATTCAAAACTGAATGTTTATCATAGTTTTTCAATTGATTGTCGACTGCTGAGAGTTGCGAGAGATATAGAACGAGAGCGAGAGAGAGAGAGATCAACTTGAGAGAGTCTATTAATAGCGCCTGCATCTATTTTGTCTATAAATACAAAAAGAAAACAGAATGTGCTAAAGCAAAACGTATARCCAGCGTGTGGAATAATTTTAATAAAATTTTAGAAAAATTTAACAAGAAAGAAATGTCTGCAAGCAACAGCACGGAAGGCGATCTGAATAATAATGAAACAGTGGCTGCATCTGCAGCTGCTGGACAGATTGAACCAGTAGAGCAAGCGGCGCAGGCAGCGGAGCAGCCAAAAAATGAGCTACTCGACATGGTATTCACATTGGAGAGCGAGAAGCAGGCGCTGATCGAGGAGTCTCGCAAAAGAATCGGAGCACTACGCAAAGATTTTGAGGTTAGTTTGGAAAGATCAGTATTTTGATTGAGATTCGATTTGAAGGGTGAATCACGTTTAGGATGCGCGCTGTGAGAATGAACGTCTACAGAAGCGGGTGGCCAATTTGGAGCAGTCACTAAAGCAATCAGTGATGCTTGGTGGAACAGATGCACCGAAATCTCGACAGGAACAGGAGGAACTGCTGCTCAAGGCCAAGACATTGCTGTTCGAAAAGACCAAAGTGAACAAGCAGCAGGAGCAACAGATAGCCGTACTCAAGAATCAAGTGGAGTCCATTAAGGATGTGCTGCAAGTGACCAAAGATATGCTTCAGCTAAAGACCACAGAGTGCGAGCACACCCAGGCGCGCCTGGAGAAGAGTCAGCTGTGGATCAAGGCCGAGCAGGATAAGTGCGCGCTTACCGAAAAGAAACTTGCGATATCGAAATCCGTTTACGATAAGCTACGCGCCGAATACGACACGCAATCTAAGATCTTTAAGGTGAGTTAAGGACCTCCTAGTAAACTATATTCAGTAACTCGAATCGATCTCCGTAGGACTTGAAGTCGGCTTATGAACAAAAGTTGAAGGTGCTGACTGTCGCATTAGCCGAAGCCAAAAAGTAGCTGAACAATTTAATAAACTACACATGTTAATTAAATGCACAAATATTCTTTAGAAGTTCAATAATTTAATCAAATTTGTCCTGGCGCTCGTCTAGGCGCTCTGCTTGCCCTGCTGCTGTTGCTGTTGCTGCTGAATCATTTTTAGGGCTGCCGCCTGCTTCATTTCCAGCACACCGATCACAGAATTAAGGAAACGCGTCTTTTGCAAATGTATCTTCTCGATCTTTTCAATCTGTTCCTGGACATACTCGACGCGTCGCTTGAAGTAATCCTTGGAGCCTTGCAGATCCTGAAACAAAACTCGTCAGCAGAGCATAAGAATTGCAACTGCAATTGGTAGTCACCTTTTCGATGTAGTAGCCGGTGCCGATATCTATGACGAAGTTGTTCAAGTCCTTTATGCGACCTGGCACATACATGCTGCTTGTTAGAGGAACGAGTATTTGACGGTTCTCCCAATCCGGCTGAAATGCTTCGAGGGCATCTTTAGAGCCGGCGTATTTGGCTTTGCAGCTGTGCAAAGTGGATAGCGAATCCTGTATGTTGGTCATTTCCTGAACATAAATGCAATTATTATTAACATGTGCAACTGCTGCGGCATTGCAACGCCCTCCCCTCTCTCTCATTCTTTCTCTCTGCTGAGCAACACCCACATGCGACTGGCATACACTCACCTGCTCGAACTCTTGCTTGATTTGCATTAATTGGTCCGGACTGAGATTGGTGAGATCAATCATCTCGGACTTTGCCGCAGCATTTGCAGTTCCAGCCATAATTTGTGCTTAAACTTATAACTTAAAAAGCGTAAATTTTATTATAATAGTCACACGCAAATCGTGCAGTGTTGTATTATAGCTTTTGGAATACGTTCGATAGCACGAATCACGCAACGGAACTAGTTCATCGATGACAAATATCACACATACTATACTGTTGTTATTGTCGGATATACCATCAATGTCTGTCTAAATAAAATTGGGTTGGATTGGATTGCCGGAAGTGTCAAGCGCTTCGTAGCTTTATTTATTTTAAAATTCAGCTTAAAAAAATGTTAATCCAGAAATAAAATTGTTTCGCTCTGTTGATTAACAGGGCCAACCTATGGTCATTTAACAGTGCATCTGAATACTCATTTAACAGCAGAGACTTAATGTTATGCCACTAACCTGGTTAGTGGTAATACGCTCGAATACCAGTGTTGCCGTTTTGTCCTTTTTCCGGATAGATCTGTCCTATTTTTGACTGCGACAGCCGGAAAAATTTTGAAACGTCCCCTGTCCGGAAAAAATGCCTTTTTTTTTTTTAGTTTGTCCTATTTCTATCCTTTTTTTTAATTTTCTGAGTCTCATATATAATTTGTTATTTTCAACTGCATGTCACCGCTTTGATCATGATTTTTTGAACATTTTCAATGCAATGCAGCCCTGTTTTATATGTGTTATCGAAATCTGACTTATCGAACATCGCTCACTCGAGTTATAATTGTTAAAAGTAAAGGATGCCAAAAGATACGTACAAACAAAAATTTAGAGATTCCTGGATGNGCAGTTAGGTAAGTTGTTATTTTAAAAAAAATACTTACGTACAACATATTTCAAAAAAATTAAATTTCCTTCTTATTCAGATTTGGATTACGTCGAAACGGAACTTGCTGCCATAACTATGAAGTGCCTGAAAAATTTTTACGCCAAATCGGCACAAACATGAATGTTTTAGAATCTGAAAATGAAACACTCGACGAAGTGTTAATAAATTTGCATGAAAATGTATAAATTTACTTAAACTTTTTGTTTTATTGAAGAAAAATTTTTTAGTCCTATTTTTTTGTCCTATTAAAAAAAATCTGTCCGTTTTTTGTCCTATTTTCTGGGTCAATCTGTCCTATTTTTTCGCCAAGCCAGCGGCAACACTGTCGAATACTACCTCTTAGCAGAGGCTCCCCAGTGTTGGTAAGTGATGCTTCTCATTTTAAGTATTAACGCTTTTTTTTTTTTTTTTTTATAATTGTATTTTATTTATTATATGCAATGTTATAATTTCTTGTGTTTTGTCAGTCATTCTGTATTTGTATGCAATTTTATACCGTTATTTCCATCTCATAAATTATAAAATCTAACATAAAACAAAGCCATTTCATTAACAATCACTGCCGCTACATGTACGTCTAAATACACGTTACGATTTGCTATATAATATAGCCGTTACACATTGTCCATATACATATTCTTTGTCGCTATATACTGGGTATATGTGTCTGTGTGTGTCTGAGTGTGTGTGTGTTAATTTCGTATATATATATATTTATATTAGATAACAATGATATTAAGCCTAAATAGATATAAGTTTAAGTTGTATTGATACATGGTTTTGCATTTCGTACGAATCTGTTTATCGGTTCCTATTTATCGATCATTCAACTATTACATGCTTTAACTAATTTACTGTTACTCATTAAACTAACTGTACTTGCTGTCCTGACCCACTTATCATTTATGGTTTTGCGTTTATCATACATAACATTATTGTTTAATTCAATTTGATAGTTGTATTGTTGCTGTTTGGGGTTTTCTAGTTTATATGTATATTCTTTATATTGTTTCTAAACAATTAATTTATGGCTTGTAGAATTTTCAATAGTTTTCTTTTGAATAATCGCAAGGCAAAAATTTTAAATGAAAAAAAAAAAAAAAACTGAAAACTTTTGTGTGTTTTACTTTAAATGCAGAGTTTTTCTTGTGCAGCTTTAACATTGTGAATATATGTATATATATAAACAAATATATATATATATAGAGTGAGAGAGAAATTTGTCGTTATTTAAGTGGGAATCGTAATTTGGTTATCAACAGCATTTTAAAAAGTTTCAATTCGAAGGGACGTAATACATAATAATAATAATCATAATAATTCATTTCATTTTTTTACATTATATATTTGTTTTTGTTTGTGTGTATATTTGTTATATAGATACATGCATACATACATATACATATATATGTATAAATTGTAAAGTATATATATTTATGCATGTATATGTGTGCATTGCATAGTGTTTAAATTGTTCTAAGTGTAAGTTTTGTTTATATTTTTCCTAGATTTCCTAGTTTGTTTTCTTTTGTTCAAGTTTTCCGTAACTCAAAAAATATATCAAAAATTTGTTTGAAATGCGATATAGATATATATGTGTGTATATAAGTAGTTAGGAGTCAAATGTACACATATCTCAAGCAGATATATATATATGTATATACTTTTGATATTGTTGAATTCAAAGAGAGCGAGAGAAATGAATGAGAAATTGATTTACCTAAGCAGGTGTGTGTGTACGTATGTGTGTATATGTATATACCCCAATATAAATATATATATACAAGTACATATATCAAATATATGGTTCGGAGTATATTTATCAAAATAAAATTCTTATACAAATAACAGCAGAAAGATAACAAAATGAAAAAGCTGTCTACAAAAGATGATTCAAATGAATGTATGTGTGTGTTTGCACGTGTATGTATATGTGTGTGTGTGTGTGTGTGTGTCTTCTTTATCTTATTGATAGTTGTTTTAGTTGCTGCTGATTGCGTATACGTCACGTAAGCCTCGAAAAATATGCACAAAGCGGCTCTAATACTGTAAAATTGTTGCTTGCTTCCATTACCATAACGGTTAACCGTTACCGTTATCGTTTCTCTAACCGTTTTCGTTTCCATTTCCGTTTCTTCATTTCATTCAGCTGTAAAGTAATTTTGCTCACAATTGGATAGCGTTTGTAAAGAAAGCTAGGTAGGTTCGCTTCAGTGTCGAGTGTCAAGTGTGTGTGGGTGTGTGTGTGTGTGTGTGTATTGGTGTTGGTGTCTTTTTAATTGATATGTCAGAGTTCATATTGCATAAGTGTTCTATGACAATATATAGTCTCAAATACATATACATATTCAAAGTATATAGTTTAGGGTTTGTTTTTTTGGTTTAAACTTAAATTTAATTTCGGTTCATCTATTTCAATTTGAGTTTGAATTTGCATATTTGAATTTCAATTAATCTTGGAACTAGAAAAAATGAATTTGAATTTGTCCTTCAATTACAAGCTGGGGGTTTCTTTCAACTTCAATCTCAATTAAAATTAAAACCAAATTTTAACAATTATCAGACAATTATAATTTTAAATATTTCATTTATTTAATTTCAATTCTAATTGAAATTCAAATAACAAATTCAATTTCAATTTCTGTAATATGTATTGCTGCACGTTAAAGGAAAGGTAAAAATTGTTGCATTATAAAATTTATCGGTTGAAGTCAATTAAAGCCAGTTTCAATCGAAAGAATCGAACATAAGCAGAGTTTTCTCCTCTTTAGCACTATTATTTGTATGATATCGTTTATAATATATATATGTGTATATATATATATACTTGTATATATGTATATACATATATGTATACCATATATATACATATATATAGTTAGATTACAGCACCACATTTTGTAACAAACAGAAACTGCTTATAGAACATTATATATATATATATGTATATATTAGCATATATCATATATTGTATATTGGTTTCTTTATAATATTTAAATTACGTTTTACATAGATATTCGCTAACTTCATTTCATTCGCAGTTTTCGCTTGTTTCAATGGGGCCAACATTGGATCGTTTTTTTTTTAGCGAAATATTTTACACAATTATTCGATTGGCTAGTGGCGTTATTAGTTATAACATAATGATATAATGCTTGTATACCTATATAGTATATATAGTATATATATATATAGTGTGATTCCTCCTCCACCTCCCCTTCTTCTTCTTCTCCTTTTTTTGTATTTTTCTTTTAGCAAGTCTTTAGTTTGAAGCTTTATAATTTCTTAGGCAATAATTTCTCATTTGCTGAATTTAATATTTCGTGTTAAATTTTGTTTTAAATAAGTTTTGCCCATTAAAACTTATGCATATGCAGCTAAAATATTATTATTTATATATTTATATATATGTGTGTGTCTGTGTGTGTGTGTGCATAAACATAATCAATCTGTTGGCGTGGCTCTGCTTATTATCCGCCCTCCATCATTCTGTACCCTTCGCACGCCTTAAGGCTGTCAAATAAATACTCGTTCTTTAAGTATGCAATGGGGTATATAGGTTTCTACAAGGCCATTGGGCAACTATCTGAATATGATATAAGGCATATGTAGGGGATGCCTAAACTTGATAAGCAGACAAAGGTTAGGGTATATAGCTACGCCTGCCGGCAGGGCGTGGCACATAGAACACTCTATATATCGGCTATAGCTATCGAACTGCTTGATCTAGTCACATCTTCTCATAAAGGCAGGGAAACTTTGAACGAGTATTATATGCAGTCGTTGATACCCGATTGCAAAATGTTGACTTCGTTTGGGGAAATCGGATGTGAAATTGAACTTATTTGAACACACCTCTTTCATATACATATGATGCTTATACATGTATATATGTATCTATGTTTGTATATGTGTAGAGGGGGATACTGAAGAGATCAACCTTTAGCTCGGCATTAAAGCTTTCTATGTGTGTGTGTGTGTGTGTGTGTGTGAGTGTGTGTCTTTGTATATTGCTAATTTGACGCTGGTTCACCCTGATGGCTTTGGGGCCTTACACATACCACTCCTTGACGTCCTTGGAGTCGCGCTTCTTGGCCTTGGGCTGCACGAGGCCCGCCATCTGGGGCCGCCCATCGCTGCCGTAGCCGAGGGAGCCACTGCCGCTGGACATCATGCCTCCGCCGCCGCCGCCGCTGCTGCTGTGGCCGTTCAGGTTGTGATGCTGCTGCTGCTGCTGGTGGTGCTGCTGCTGCTGGCTGTGATGCTGCCCG